TACAATGTTATTGTTACAATGTGAATTTTAAAGTATAACTTTGTAACTTTACATTGTACCATAAAGTGTATTTTCTAAGGAAAAATCGTATGCATACACAGTGCTTCCAACAGTTTATAAATTCACTATGCAGGACAATGTGGGTTGCATATAGAATAATCCATCAAATGTTAGACAAAAAAAAAACATATAACTTACAATGTGAAAAAGTCACTAACACAAACAAACCCAGAAAAAGATTGTAAAAGCAATTTATAATAAACTTAAAATAGTGAACAATGTCATTAAATGATAGCATTCTTAAGTTTACAATGGCTCGTTACAATTTTTCTTGTTGTGACTGCCTAAACGTCGACACCGACCACAACAAATTTGCCGAATGAGTTCTCCCCTAGACCGAATTCTGCAATTCTTTGGTCTACCAGGTTGTTTCTTGGTAGATGGTGGCAAAATATTAACATCTACTTGCAAACTTGCAACACAATATATAGTCCAGATTGGATAAATGGGTTCAGATATGACTTATTGTATGAACTCACATGGTAGTAATAATCAACAAATTTGTACATATTTTGCGCACTCTTTTGCATTGTCGACACGACATGTGAACAAGGGAACCCATTTATTTGCCACTGACAACATGAACACATGTCATTCACACTAAAGGATATGACATCACTTGGTACACTTGATTATTTGAAACCTGTACAGTCCAGGACCTCCCTTCATCAAATGCAGCTTGTAATTTGGAAGATATATTGGGGCATAAATTCTTATTCCACTCTGAAGCTATATTCATCATTCGGCCAATTTGATCCATTATTTGTCCCCTAATAGTGTCAACAATGCTAGTAATAGGTAAATGCCGAGCTTTTAAAAATTCACGCGTTAAACAACTTTGCAGCATTAGAACATATCTCACCATAACGCTTCCCTATAAAATGAGCATTTGTCCAATGTTCAAATGGAAGATTGGAAAGGAACCTATCTGCATTAGAACCACCTTCATGATGGAAAGCTTCAATCTTCTCATTAAAAATAAAATGTGTTGGTGCATAAGCACACTCACGTAGCAAAATCACCATGTGTTCTCAGAATACATTGGAAAAACGAGTGCCACTCAATTTATCCGGCAAATTAGCTTTCAAATGCTGCAAACAAAATGCATGATGAGCATTTGGAAAAACTTTCAGCATTGCCTCTAACAAACCCAAGTTACAATCAGATACAAACGTAATAACCCGATAGTGATCCAATATCTTAGACAACTATTCTAAAAACAAAAATTAGTTTGATTCATTCTCCGAATCAACCACCGCAAATGCCAAAGGAAACAACCCTGAAATTAACCACATAAATAGTCGTGAAAATTAAAATAAAAAATATTGTAACATACATTGTTGTAATGTGTTTATAACACTATTAACAATGTAACAAAGATAGTGTAATATAACAATTACATTTTAACATAACCACGAAATTTGTCACTCCAAAAACTATATTAAATTTTACCTTGGTTGCCATCTTTTGCTATTGCAGATAGACGATTACCTCTATACATGCTTTTAAAAAAAAATACCATCCAAAAAAAGTAGTGGACGACAACAATTAAACCCTTGAATACAACCCTTAAAAGAAACAAACAACCTTTTGAAACATTTATTATCATGATCACAGTCTAACACAATATGATTTTCCAAATTAGAATGATTTGTTGTATCGACATAACAATGTCATTGTTAGTACGATAATGAGTGGTCCCCAAAAAACATACATTTTGCTTTCTCAACTCCTTCCTATGCTTTATCATAAGATATGGTGAGAACATAATAAGAAAAAAAATCAGCAACCACCTCTGTTGGATGCATTGTGGTATGCCCATGAACATGATCAACAATCAAATCTGCAATCAATTTAGAATTAATCCTCTTGTTATCTTTCGTTTGTAGATCCACACCACAACTATGCTCATTGTGCAATTTCCTAATATAAAAAAACTAGTAGCTTTCTCCACTATTGCATTAATAGACTACCCACAATCAGAAGAATACTTAAAGGAACACTTAGCAATAACCCTTGATTTACAATTCTTTACATAATTAAATTCAAAATCAGCATCAATCGAGTATTTACAAAGTGCTTTTCAAAACTGTAACACACCACCTTTAAATTTATGTCTTATGTGCCGTATTTCATTATTCCACCCAACTATTAAAAGAACTTTCTCATTATGACCAATAAAACTAGGTAACAAATCTACTTCAAAATCAACAATGTCACATATGTTCACATCCTACAATGAATCATTATCACCCAACAACCCACCCTCAAAATCTTCCACAAACACCTTAAATTCAACATAATTTCCTGGGAAGCTCCATTTCAATTCAATCAAATTCTTCAAATTCGTATCATTGCGCAACATGGTAGTGGGGTGACCAGGTATAGAATATGACAATTGGACTGACAAATTAAACAACTCATCCCAAGTCTCGCAAATTTCAGGAACAAGTTCCGATATTTTTGAATTACAACATACTTTGAATACTGAGGTAGCATTAACATATGTACATAACAGAAACACCGTTTCCTCCATTGCCAAATACTCTCAACTATTAAAAAAATAGATACAATGAAACACAAAATAAAAATATATATGCAAAGAAATACAGACTAAAAACATATATACATTAACACATTTATACTGTAAGACATTAACATATTAGAGTCATGAATTTAAACCTTGTAATTGATGTTATATAATTACAATGAAGACAAAAAGTTTAAGACTTGCAATGATGAATGTCTGCCCAGTCGAAGAAGAAGAATACACCACAAATGATAGGGTTTCAAACTTTGAACAAAACAATATATCCTAAAATAAACACAATAATAAAGTAATCTCATAAAATTAGGAGATATTTAATGCATAAATATAATTTGAAGACAAAACCACTTTCCAAAAAATATACGCATCGATTAAGGGAGGACATAAATGTCACAAAAATCTAAAAATTTCAAATTATGTACTTGGACACAATTAAGAACCAAAATTAAGGACTTCTTTTCTCTAAATTGTTTTCTGTTTACTTTTTTACAATTAACTCCATTTTAATTTACCACTTTAATCTTAAACATGGAGAGTCCACTGGAGAGCATCCAAATATGTGATGTGGTCTGTGTGACTTAATTAAATTGATTATTTCTTTTCAAATTACTCTTGGATTTTAACTTAAATTTATTAAGTAATCACTTAATTTAGACCTAATTTGCTGAACTAATTCACTATGACCTTTGGATTGGATCCATTTAATTATGTCAGATTTTTATATTCAAATAGCATGACTCATACATAAATATATGTAGACACAATTTAAGTCATCTGGGTTTGGGACGATTCTTGTCCCATAATTAGGTTGGTAGTCACTTTTTAAATTTTTTTTAACTTTTAATTATAATACATTTTTTTTCTTCTTTAAACTGATTTAATATAATTTAGGGTAATTTAGGTGACTGAAATTTTTTTCTTACAACTTTCATGTCTTTTAAACATTAGAATGATTTTTCTTAAACTTGCTTGCAAGCTTTCATGCTAACTAAATACATCCATGAAAATTTTATTATTTTTATTTTTTTTCTTTCACATCACTTTCTATTACTTTTACTTTCCATTATTTTTTTCTTCTAACCAAATAGACTCGAAGGGTGATTAGTGTTAGAATATTAAAAAACTAGTAGACAACTTGTGCGATGCACAAAATTTGTTATATCTTACTACCATCACCCCTACCACAAAATCCTCACTAACCCTAATATTATTATACAATTCTTATTAATGTGCTAAAATAATGTTAATTTAAATTTTAAATATTTAAGAAAGATAATTTAAAATTTAAATTTAAAGTAATTTAAGAAAAATGGTGGGAGTATGCGGTTGCATACCCAGTTGTATAATCTTTTTGACGTGATTTCTTTTGTACCCTTCTTTTGCAGAGACACTATGATGAATCTGTGTTTATTGATTGATACTATTTTTATGTTTTATCAGAGGAGAATTAGTAGTCTTTGATGGTGAATAAAAGTAGATTTATGCATAATTAACAGTCGAGTGTATGATGCTGAGTAATTAATGAAGCAATCAATAAAGCAATTAGTAACAAAAGACAAATATTAGGTCAACATAGGCAACACACCGATGTATAGTGGTTCGGTCAAGGTGACCTACTCTACTTTCGAAAACAGCTACGGTGGCCGGAGATTTTTATTAATAAAGTAAGGTGTGTGAGAGAGAGAGAGCAACAGTAAACTCAGAGTAACTATGAGAGAAAAATTGTTGTGTGAAGGGTGTGTAGAGAGAGATGCCCCTCTCAATGGAGACAACTTACAATTTATAGGCATAGAGCCTTAGTTGAGGCGGTGGCATGATGTGATAGGTGACTAATCGTTTGGAGAGGATAGCTATAGCTAAGGATAGGTACAATAGAGATGATCTTGATCTATGAGAGTGGCTATCCCGGTAATTACTCCCTATATGCTCTAATATTTCTAGATCCCTTGAATCTTGGTCTAGGCCGAATGTGTGAACTGGGTTTGACTTGCCTTATAGCTAATTGAGAGCCTGACCTAATAAGATCTAGGCTCATCATTTGCCCCCATGCCCTAAGTTCTTGTGGTGTCAAGGAGATTAAAGGCATGACTGAGCTCTTCATCTTAAGTGGCAAAAGGTTTCTTGTGTTTGCACGATGACTTGTTGTTACCTTGGAAACCCACTTCTTTGTTTCCCAGTTTCATTGCAGCACTGTCAACAAGTTAGGAGAAATTTTATTTCTTTCCACCAAAAACCCCCCTTTCATATCCAGGTTATGTCTTTAGGGTTTTAAAGATTGGGATATACATATACCCTTTGTTTCTTCCATCCCACTTTTTTTTTTTTTTGCCTCAAACACCAATCCTTGGAGATTAGAGCGATAGTGACATCTTGGCCTAACTCTATTCCACAGAGACTTGGGTAAGGTTAAGGACAAGGATATGGGTGCTAAGGAAAAATCCTTGAAGAAAAACTCCATGGGTGGCTCTATGGATGAAGCCATGACGAAGAAGAGGCAAGGCCAAACCTATGGAGGCATCATGATTGGTGGCGCTAATGGAAGAGGCCAAATGGCTTTGAGCAAGGGTAAAGCCGAGACGATGCTAGTTGGGAACTAAACAAGGCGGTGCCAGGCACAGACAGAGTCGAAGATTCCCTTTGTTGTAGTCTAGGCACAAGCAATGCCTACTACACTGGAGATGGTAGCACCTCTTGTATCGTATAGGAAAGTAGCAGCGATGTCGCTGGTCAGAAGGGCAGTGCCTATAGTGCAAAAGAAGTCCCTGTATGAGGCGTCGATTTCACAAGTGATGCCTCAGGCTGTTGGGACGTAGGAGGCACATCAGATGGGGACCTAGGTGGCACCGACTGTGGCTTGGATTCCGTGAAGGATGGCGACGCCCATGGTGGGTGACAGTTAATTGGCGACATCACTAGGGCTAGGGTTGGAGCTCTTTGTGCTAGTCTGGGTGAGATTAGCAATGATAGCAACAAAGAGATGAGTGACGATCAGGCATTGGGCGACACTAGCAAACTGCTGGGTGGTGCTAGGTGTTCGATAGGGGACAGCGGTCCATATTGCTTCTAGGGACTCAGGAAGCACCAAAGATAAGCTGGGATAGGTAGGTGTCAATCCACATGGTGCGCTGGGCGTTGGGCTTGATCTGGGTGATGCCAGTGTAAGGCTTGGCTTGGGCGACGCCAACCTGGGCACGAGGCCTGGCCTAGGTGGCACAAGGCGAGGTAGGTCCATGACTGAAGGGGCCTAGTTGAGCGGTGATGCTACCCCTTTTGAACTTCAAGGTGGCGCGATTACTTGTAAGGATCAGAACAGCTCTAACTTCCATGATGAGGTATTGGATGATGTCTGGGGATGCGGGACTTGATCGGGTGGTACCGAGCATTCCCTTGAGCTGGTAAGAGATGGTGGGTCACACCTTTGAATGACAGGTAGTGGTGCTTTGGAGACTAGCAATGCGGTTAGGGAGCTCAGTGGTAAAAGCGTTAACCTAAGCTCTGTTGAAAGGAGGTAGTGTGAAGGTAAGACGACTGTGTTTTCCCTTTAACATAATAACAATTCTAGCGCCCACTTGATATTTTTACTTTGTTAAGTTTGCCTCTGACATTGGTTCTCATCTTGGTTGTCGCCACCCTTGATAAAGGCATGACGAGGGTTGACTCACAGGGCTCCCAACGAATCAAGAGAGTTGTTGACTATGATAGGTCAAAGGTAATCTCAATCTTTAGTTCCATAGAATGTGATGATGACATTGCCCGTGTTGTATCTTCGTATCATATTCCTCTTGCCACTATTTGTCACCAGGCCGAGAGGGACGAGCCGGTGTGTTTCGACTCTTCCGAAGAAATCAATTTTTACAAAGATGTCTTAGAGATAGGGTTGAGGTTTCCCATACGCGACCCATATGTTGGATTTTGGTACACCTATCACTTACTCCGGGGAGACTGATCCCAAATGGTTGGAGGTTAATCTTGACATTCTTTTTGTTATGGCTATTGGTCCATGGTTCTAATGTTCCTTGCCCTTTCAAGGAGTTTTTGACTTTATATGTACTTTTGGATAACCCTACTCCTTATCAAGGGTGGCACCATTTTGTCCCGAGGTCGAGCAAGCTTATTACTAGACTGCCCTTGAATTTCCACGATTAGAAATCTAGGTTCTTCTTTGTTGGAAGTGAGTGGGCGACTAAAGAAGATCGTGATTTAGTGTTTTTGAGGTGGGATACTACTCCTAGGACCAAGCCAGGTAAGGATTTTTACCTTCGCTCTTACGTCTAATCCTTTTGTCCCTGTACTTACTATGAGTTTGGTTTTTTGTAGCTTCCCCCATGTTTTCTCCAGAGTAGGAGAATAGGCTTTAGGTCATGCGAGATCACCCTTTCAAGGAGTTTTTGGCCATTATGTCTGCGTCGGGTTTTCCCAGAGCCTCTCCTAAGCAGAAAAGGAGAGGTATTTGATCTTCCCAATTGACTTTTGATGGTTATGACTTTGTAGGCTCTTCGTCTCACACCAATTCCACAGGTTCCACTGTTGATAGAGCGATGGTGAAGGCTCTTTATGCTTCTAGGGTGGCATCTTCCCCTCCTTCCTCTAAGAAGGCAAAGTTTGATGCCCCCAACACTTCTCAGTCGAGGTCTGTTGGCCAAGTTAGTTCTTAGGAGGCGGTAACTGGTGATGCCTCCACTCCTCCCTCAGCTATGACTCCATCGCATTCCAGAGCTAGCCCTAGTATGGTTATAGGGATTCAGGCTCTAGCAAGGGCTCCTACGAGGATCAAAGCTCCATATAGCTGCCCTGCTTCTAGTAGTGGTTTGATATCCATGTTGCAGGACATGAATTTGGCCAAGGAGCAAATTTGGGGGGTTTATGATCGCTACGGAGATCCAAGAGGTTGGCTCTCGAGATTCAGAGGGCATCATTGACATTGCTACGGAGGGCTTTGCAATGGCATGCCTTTTACTCATCTTTGATTTTATACCCGCTTATTTTCCCGCATGTCCTACTTTTTTTCATGCTTATAGGTGGCTGTCATTTTTCCTTGCTTGTTTTCAAGGATGATGAAGATTGGAGAGGCATTTAAAGATCTAGCAATAGAGAGGAAATGACGAAGGGTGGCTGACGAACAATTGGAGCTCAAGAGACAGGCACGAGAAGCTGCCAAGGAGTAGTTCAGGCTAGTACACGAGAAAGCTACGCCCCTAGAGATCGAGCTTTTGGCATCTTGTGAGAGGGCTTCCCAATTGGTGGCTAATAGAGAGGCTGCCTGCGTGAGAGTAGAGACAGAGCTGTGAGTATTCTGCGAGAGTGCTACTAGAGCAAAGACCAAGCTATGGATAGCTCGGGAGAGGGCTTTCATTGCAGAGACTGACCTTCGAGCAGTTCTTGACAGAGCTACTAGGGCAGAGACTCATTCCATTGAAGTGGAGAAAAAAAGGGATGCTACTGAGAAGGCCGTGGCAAGCGCCTTCATCGACGATTATGAGGAACTTAAGGGAAATGTCTCAACAACTTTTCCTACCTTTGAATTTTCTGGCTTCGTCCCTATGAGGCACTAGGGACTAATAACGAGGATGAGAGCTTTGATGAGAGCGGATCATGGAGCAGTGAGTGATGTCTGGGGTGTAACCCTTTTATCTATTTGGTTTTGTTGCTAGGTCATGTTCTACTTTTGTAAGAGGTTTATGAACCTTTATGGAATGAGAGACAACCTTTGAAAAGACAAATCTTGCAAAATTTTATTTCATAATTTGAAATAGATAACAATGAAATTAAATAAAACCACAATAGATAGTTTATATGATGGCTACTAATTTGTGCACCCACTGACTTGTCCCCAACTATTGGTAATATCTCTTCAGGTGCTCTGTATTCCGCGGACAAGCCAATGTTTTCTCTTCAGAGTTCTGGATTTTGTAGGTGCCTGGTCTTACAACTTTCGTGACCATATAGGGTCCTTCCTAGTTTAGGCCTAGCTTCCCTTCTCGAGAATCCTTAGTAAATAGGATGACCTTTTTTAGGACTAGGTCCCTAGACAAGGAGCAAGACTTCACTCTCGAGTTGTAGTACTTGGTCATGCAATATTTGTGCTCTACATTCCTGAGCAAGGTTATCTATCTTTCCTCCCTTACCAAGTCGAGGTTGATGCAGAGGCCTTCTTCATTGGTGGTAGGGTCATGGTGTTGGACCCTAAGAGAGTGTATCCCAATTTTGAACGGTATGATTGCTTCCATCCCATAGGCTAAGGAGAAAGAGATCTCTCATGTGGGGCTTCTTGGTGTTGTCCGATAAGCCTTTGGTACTCTTGGGAGTTCGTCCACTCATCGCCCTTTTGTACTCTCTAATTTGGTCTTTAAGTTACAAAGGATGGTTCTGACGATTACCTCCGTTTGCCCATTTGCCTATGCATGGGTTGGGCTAGAGTGGGGTTGCTTGATCTGTAGGTCGGCTTAGAAGTCATTATCACTTACTATGGCATGAGATACTCTGAAACGACAGATTATGCTCCTCTAGACGAGTTCTTTCATCTTCTTATCCGTTATCCTAGCTATGGATTTGACTTCTGCCCACTTTATAAAGTAGTCAATGGCTACTACCACAAACTTGCACTGGCCTAGACTCATGGGTAAGGGACTTAGAATGTCGATCCACTATATGGAGAACGGTCATGGGCTTAGGATAGTGGTGAGTTCTTCTAGTAGTTGTCTGGCCATTGTTGTGAAGCACTGGCAATCGTCACACTTTCTTACGAAGTCACGGGTGTCTCTGATCATGCTAGGTCAGTAATAGCCTTGCCTTGTGAGCTAGTACACACCCTCCTGAGCAGTTTCCACATATTCCCTCTAGATCTCCCTCATGGCATAATCTACTTCCTCGGGGTGAGACAATAGAGTAGTAGCAGTGAATAACTCTTCTTGTAAAGGGTGTCATGTAAGATGACTTACCTAGATGCTCTATTTCTCAAATTTTTGGCTTCCACTGGGTTATCTGGAAGAATGCCTTCATCTAGGCAAGCTCAGATAGGGGTCATCCAATTGGATTTGGAGGAGGATGCACAGTTAACATCGTCCTCCTTTGCCTTAAGCCTACTTGGCTCAAACTGGTGGTCTATCAGTTCTGGGCCTAGAAGTATGTTTGTGGATACAAACTTGACAAGAGCATCTGCAATGGCATTCTCCTCTCTGGGCATATGGTGGATCTGGAAGTGGTTAAACTTCTTTAGTAAATCTTGGGTCACTGACAGTTATTCTTGCATCTTTTTCTCATTTGCTTTAAAATCTCCTTTTACTTGATTGACTATCAGTTGTGAGTCGTTGTAAGCTGTCAGGAAGGGGGCTTCCATCTCCATTGCAAGTTTCAAGCCTGATATGAGGGCCTCATATTCAGCTTGGCTGTTTGATGCCGCAAAATGGAGGGAGATAGCATACTGGAGTGGAGTGCCATGGGGGTTGATCAGTACTACTGCGTCGTCACCCTTGCTAGTGGTAGAGAGGGCGTTGAGGGCTCTGGTGGAGTAGGTATAAAGGAGGTGGAGACTTCTGGCCTTAAAGTTTGGTCTTCAAGGTCCTGAGAGGCTATCTTCATGATGCCAATCTTTTTTATGATAGTGCCTGAGTTTGTCTCATGGTGACTTGAGACACAGTGTATTGGGCAAGTGAGTGCAGAGGTGCATGGTGCTTCTTCCCGGGATTCCTTAGCAGTGTAGATTTAGCCACAAAGTCTGTAATTGCTGGCATTTTTATAGCCACTCTCAACTGGTACTGCATGTCAAATTTGCTCAACTCGACGGCCCATTTGAGGAGTCAATCAGAGACATCTAGCTTTTCAAATATTTCCTTAAGTGGTTGATTTGTAACCACCACGATAGCGTGGCCCTGAAAATAGTGGAGTAGGAGCCTAGCGGCGGTGACAAGTGCGAGAGCCAACTGATTAGTAGTTAAAATCAGTGCCTTTTTAAGATTAATTATACTTTGATAGAGTTTAAATGATGACAATTCAGGACATAAATTGTACAAGGGACCAAAGTCAATGACTATCAAACTTTCGTGCAACACCAGCATATTTTGGAGCAAAATTGAAAAGCTTGGACCAAGGCAAGAATGTTCAAATGTTAATTCACGTTCGAACGTTCTCTTGAATTATTAAAGATTAGACTGCTGAAGTACTGTGCAAGGTGTGTTGCAGCAAGGAAGAAAAAAACACGAAAGTACTTGAGTACAACGTTCGAACGCCAATCCACGTTCAAATGTTGTCCTGAATTGTTGAAGACCAGGCTGATGAGTACAGAGGCAGTGGTTCATTGCATATGGAAGTAGCTCGCATAGAAGACCTAAGGCCACTTGAGTAGGAGGTTCAAACTACATCTGGCGTTCAAATGCCCATCAAAAAAAGACAAGAAGAACGTTCGAACGCCAGACAACGTTTGAACGTTATCCCCAGACTGGCTACAGAGTGGTTGGCTTTCACTTGGACATTGGCGGCCTTGCACTATTCTTTCACACTCCCTTGCCCCCTCCTCCTTGCCTATAAATACTCCTATTGTGGGAGCTTCAAGGAGGCTAGTAGAAGTAGTTGTAGAGAGTTTAGACTTAGACTTATATTTTACTTGTATATAGGAAGATAGATCATCTTTTGGTTGCGGTGAAAACTCTCCAAAAGTGACTAGTTTTCTTCTACTTTCATTGGTAATTTCTT